CAAAACTTACAGAACATATATTTAAGAATAAAATGTTGAAAGTTTTACCTTTAAAGAAACGAACATCACCACTTCACATCACAGTATTTAACACTGTACTGGAGATACTAGCCAGTACAATGAATTATTTTTTTTTAATTGACAGGAAGAAACTACATTGTTATTATCCACAAATTATATGATTGTGTGTAGGAAAAAAAGAATCTATAGATGTGTTACTAGTTTACCTATTCTTACGGAAATAAAAATCATTGTACAAAAATCAATTTTTTTATAATGAGTATTTTGTTTCTGTAAAAAAATTGATTCTATTTCTATATAAAACAACAGTTAAAAAACAAAATTTTTGGATAAGACACCATTTATAAGAACATTAAAAAATATCAAGGACCAATAATAAATCTACAAACAATATGCCAGTCTTCCTTGATGGAAACTAAAAAAGTTTATGTACTTAACGTAAATGATGAGGACACCTATGTTCAAAAATTCAGAGATTCAACAGTGTAATCATAATTCAATACAATCTTAACTAAAATTCCAACAGGTTCATTGGTTTTCATTTATTTAGTTTAGTGGAACTTTACAAGCTGATTTTCAAATTTGTGTAGATATACGATGGTCCAAAAAGTAGTCAAGAAAAATTTTTTTAATGTACAGCTTTCCCTACATGGCAGGCCATATAGAGGCAGTACTTCAGAGACATAGGGAAAATATTCTTTTAATAAATGGTGCTGAGATAATCTGGTATAATACACAATATAAATAAACAAACAAACAAACAAACCTGGACTCCCAAATTATACTCTATGTAAAAAATCTATTTCAGGTAGATTTTAAAATTAAATATAAAAGGAAGAACAAAAAATTTTAGAATATAACACAGAATACTTTCAAAATTTTGAAATAGAAAAAAATTCCTTAAATAAGATACAGAAAGTACTAACTGCAAGACTGATAAATTTAAGTATATTAAAATTAGGCATTCTAACCACCAAATTCATCATTAATGTGTGAAACAGCAAACCACAGAGAAGAAATATTTGAGCTACTTATAAATGACAACAGACTTGATCTAGAACATACAAAGTCCTAAAAATCATTAAACTAAAGCAAACAACCAAATGGAAAACAAGCAAAAAAACTTCAAAAGAGAAAATCCAAATAGTCAACCACACATATCGAAAAGTGCACACCTCGTAAGTCTTTGGGGAAATAAAAGCGAAAATGAAATTCAACTATAAATAACCGAATTGGTAAAAATTTAAAAATCTGACAATTGTAAATATTGATGAATATGAGAAGGAATAAGAACTATCATATTGTAGGTATAAGTATAAATTAAGTAAGCCCTCTGGAAAATAGTTGGGCATTACCTGGTATAGATTAAGATATCCATAGTCTATGACCCAACAAATTCTACTTCTAGAAAATATCCTAAATAAAAGTACATGCAAGCATGCAGAACATATATAAAAGAAAGTCTGTAGGATTGCTATTTGCGATAATCAAGGATCAGAAACCATTCATGCATCTATCAAGAGAATGGGGAAATAAATTGATCTATAGACAGACAATGGAATAACATCCTGAAATAAAAATTAGTGAATTGCAGCTATATTTCATAACATGAATGAATACTAAAAACATAATATAAAACTAAACTACAGTATTTTGGGTGGGCGTAGTAGCTCACGCCTGTAATCCCAGCACCGGAAGGCCGAGGCGGTTGAATCACCTGAGGTCAGGAGTTTGAGACCAGCCTAGCCAACATGGTGAAACCCCACCTCTACTAAAAATACAAAACCTAGCCTGACTTCAAGTGATCTGTCCCCCTCAGCTTCCCAAAGTGCTGGTACTACAGGCGTGAGCCACCACACGCCACCTAGATGGTCAAACTCTAAACAAAATTATGTAATTATATCATTAATCTGGATAATAAGTAGTTTGCTGGGTGCCGTGGTTCAGAAAGAGCATGCTAAGTAATTTCGGGATGGCAGCCAACGTTCTTGTTTTTGTCCAGAGTGGTAATTACCAAGCTGTTTATTTTCTAAGGTTTTAAAACCTCATTCATTTATGTTGTATGTACTTTGTCATATGTAGTATACTTCACAAAAGTTTTAATTAAAAAAAGGTCAACAAAATTGAGAACAATGGTCATTCTAAGGGGAGGGAGAGATCAAATTGAGGAAGGCACATTGTTAGCTTCAAAGGTTACCAGGCTGTGATGTCTGATTTCTTTTTCAAGACAGAGTCTGGCTCTGTCACCCAGGATGGAGTGCAGTTGCTCGATCTTGGCTCACTGCAACCTCCGCCTCCCAGGTTCAAGTGATTCTTCTGCCTCGGCTCCAGAGTAGCTGGGATTACAGGTGTGAGCCACCACACCCAGCTGATGTCTGATTTCTTAAATTGACCAGCGGATATGCTTCTGCTCATTTTATTCCTATATTTTATAGGTGTACTTTATTATTTCATATGTAGAATGTCATCAAAAGTACAATTGATAAAAAAATTTCATACACTGAAATTAAAAACTTTCACACTTCAAATGACACCATCAAGAAAGTAAAAAGATAATCCATAGGAAGGGAGAAAGTATTTGTAAACCAGATAGCTGATTATTTTACAAATCCAGAATACATAAAGAACTCTTTCAATTCAATAACAAGATTAATGACGCTATCTTTTTTTTTTTCTTTGGGGATTTTAAGGAGCGGAGAGTTTAATAGGCAAGAAAGAAGGGAAAAGAAAGAAGCAGCTCCCCTGTACAGAGACAGAGGGAGGGGGGCTCCAAAGCTGAGAGAGGAGACTCCAAGTGTGGAGGATAACAGCAAGTTTTCTGAGTAGACTTGGGGAGGTTGTGTCTGATTTGCATAGGGCTCAGGGATTGGTTTGACCAGGCATGTTATTCATGTAGCACGTGAAAAAACTGGCTCTCCCACCTTAGCCTTTTAATATGCAAATACAGGTCACCATGTTTTATACATGTAGGGATATGTGGGGGCAGCCATGTTGACAGGCACATGTGGGGCATGTCCATGGGTGGTTCAGTTTGCCCCACCACTTGGAGTTTGATGGTTTCACACAAACGAAGGCTGTACCTTGGATTTTTCCTGGCCCATGCACCAAAATGATACAGCTCTGATGAGTGGAGGAACACCAGGGCTCTTGTCTCATGCAAAGTGGATAAAACAACGTAGACACACATGGAGTGGTTTTAAGAAGTGAAGAGTTTAATAGGCAAAAAAGAAGGGAGAAGAAAGAAAGAAGCTCCCCTGTACAGAGACAGTGGGAAGGGGGCTCCAAAGCCAAGAGAGGAGACCCTGACATGATCTTAAAACTTTTTCTTCTTTTGGCAAACTTTTTTTTTTCTTTTTGAGACAGGGTCTTGCTCCCTTGTGCAGGCTGGAGTGCAGTGGCGCAATCTCAGCTCACTGCAACCTCTACCTCCCAGGTTCAAACAATTCTCCCACCTTGGCCTCACAGGTAGCTGGGACTACAGTAGGCACATGTCACCATGCCTAGCTAATTTTTGTGGTTTTGGGTAGAAACAGCGTTTGTCATGTCCACCAGGCTGTCTCAAACTCCTGAGCTCAAGCAATCCTCCCATCTGAGCCTCCCATATTTTTGGGATTACAGGTGTGGGCCAATCACCCGGCCAATGGCAAAAGATTTGAGTAGACTTTTCTCCAAAGAAGATATACAAAAAGATGTGCCAATAAGCACACCAAAAGATGTTCCATATCTAGGTCGTTAGGGAAATGCAAATCACTAAATGTGTCCTAATCAAAAAGATAATAATAACAAACGTTGATGAGGATTTGGAGAACAGGAATTCTTATTCACTGCTGATGAGAATGAAAAATAGTACAGCCACATCGGGGGAAAAAAAGGGTTTAGAAGCCTCTAATCATGTTAAACATAGAGGTACCATATGATCCAGCAAATCCACTCTTAGGTATCTACCTAAGAGAGATGAAAACATATGCGGACACAAAGACTTGTACATAAATGTTCATAGCAGCATTATTCCTAACAGCCCCAAAGTGGAAATGATGTAGCTGTTCATTAACTGACAAATGGATAACAAACTTTGGTATATCAATACAATGGAATACTATTTGGCAATAAAAAAGGAAAGAAGTATTGACACATACACGGTATGAATGAACCTCAAAAATGTATGCTTAGTCAAAGAATCCAGACACAAAAGATCATATAGTAAATAATTCCATTTATATAAAATGTCCATAATAGGCAAATCTCTACAGATAGAAGTAGGTTAGTCGCTCCCTAGTGCTGGGTAGGAGTGACTACTAATAGGTATAAGGAATTTTTTCAGGGTGTTGGAAATGTTCTAAAATTAGCTGTGGTGATACTTGCACAACTCCGTAAATATACTAAAAACCATTAAGGTATACACTTATGTAAATTTTTTAATATGTAAAAATAAATAAAGCTATAAAATTGTCAAGTAGGGCAGCTTCCTTAAATAATACTGGATTTTTCTAGAAAAAAAATAGTCATTTAAAACTTTTAGAACTTGATCTTGCTCTATTGGCAATTTAGTTCCTTCCTGCCCCAATTCTTCCGCCTTTAAGAGAGGGAAAGTTCAGAGACATAGTAAATATCAGTGTTTTAAAAACATTAAAAAGTATAAATCTTCACAGATTAAAAAAATCCTCAAATGACTGAGAATCTTTCTTAGGGCAGATAAAGAATAAAACAGATTTTAAAAATAAGGAAATAAACTATGTAAAATGAGGCAATTTTCAAAACTCTGAATGACAGAATACAGGACTTTCTCCCATAAACCTTGAGGTAATTGTTTTAAAAACTAGAAGAAGATAGTTAATAATCTGGGAATTTTAATGTTTTCATAAATAAAACTCTGAGTTCTTTTGCATCAGCTGAGATAATCATCTCAGATATTTAAGGGTATATACTTGTAAATATTTGTCTTTCTAGAAAAAAACATTCTGTAGGAGGATTGTTTTTACCGTTGATGTGAGGAGGAAACTGCCAGGCCTTGTTAGTTGAGGGACCGATGTCCCTGCGATTGCCATAGCAACAGTCTGGCTTATCATACTTCCGCTCTCACTTTCACAGTCATCAGGGGCTATACAAATGGGTCTTCCTCGTTGATTGTGAGTTTCTAATGAAAAATAATCCAAAAAAATAAATAAAATTGTTTAGCGGAACTAACACTTAGTGAGCATGCAATTCCTCTTCCTATTCTCTACTATTATTTAAAAGAATAACCTGTTAACATGTAATAGTTATTAGATTTACTTCCTTTAGATAATATTTTAAATATCTTTAATATTGACTCACTGCTATGGTAATAATTTATAGTTTAAAGAGAACATTAACTTGCTAGTCAAAGAAGATATAAGAATACAAACATTTCTGCCTTCAAGTAAGAAAATTCATTTTAGGGATCAAAATACTAGAAAGACTGCTCAACTATCAGTCTCTTAAAGGCAAATAGTTGGCTGTCTTTGTAACACCAGCACCTATCAAAGTTCTTAAGACACATTAGATACTCAGGAAATGTGTCTGTTTTACTAAACTGGAAGCACTTTATTGGGCTAATTACTAGTTTAAATTCCCTCATTTGCCCTAAAGAAAATATTGTTGCAAACTAAATTCTATAATTCTACAAATTCTAAATATGGAAAGCATGAGCAATAAAACTTTGTAGTAGACATTTTTAAGAATTAATACCACTTCAACTTATTAATCTGGTGTTAGCAATAAACATAATTCTTGATATTCAAGTGAATATTCATTTCAATTATATATATGAATAAAGCCAAAAACTGAGGTGGTAAACATCTGTCAAGTTTTCTTGTAGTTTTTCAGATATATACTGCATGTTCACATAAACATTTCCTAAAATGTAGGTATAAAATTGCCATAAAACTATTATTTTAAAATTCATCATAAGAACTACTTAGAGCAATCTTATACTGAATTCTCTCACACAAAGGATTTTTTGCAACATAGTTAAATAGTTATAGTTTACTTTTATCAGTGCACAATACTTGTTTTCCTAAAATAAGATCTTCAACCTTGAGATATTTTCTAAAACTTTTAAACACTGAGATTTGCCTTTAAAATTTGTCTTAATTCCACTAGGTACCTGTAAAATCATACAGCTGAGGTACAGTTTCCATGATAATACCAATCAGAGGTAGATATAACATGGCCACTCGAGCCTTTATCTGGGGGTCAGAGTACCGCGGGTCTGAGTCGTGACTGGAAAGTAAATTGTGTACCATATTGATGACTTTCTTATGCAATCCAAACAGTCTATTTAAAAAGAAGAAGAAGAAAAAGAAAGCAGTCAGGCCACAGAGATTAGCTAATATTTTAAAAACAAACAGGAAGTCATGGTCCTGAATAGATGTTGTTCAATTTCTTACCTTTGTCATATATTTGCATGCATTCCATTCCTATAAAATGTTTTTCATTTTAAAACAAATTACATGTATAAAAATGTAAAAAATGTGTAAAATAAGAATTGAAGAAAAGGAAACGCTACACCAATTCACTTAGAAGTAAATCTGAATATTTTTATATTAACTCTTTATTAGTGTATTTGATTTAAAGAACGTAAGACCACTTATAGTTACATTTTGAAGCTAAACATGGTAAATTTTAAAATGCTATATATGTTATTTCACCAAATCAGATCTTTTCACATTTACCAAAAATAAATTATTCCCTTTTTCTGAAAGAAAAATCCCCCACCTAATGGATTATGTAGCCCACAGGCTGAAGTTGCCTTTGAAATCTTTATTTAAACTGTACTTCTTTGCTAATATACCTCATTTGGGCCCTTACAACTTTTTTAGACTTCCAAATCCCCCCAGTTTCAAGTGGGCTAATACATTAACAAGGGTCACTTTCACATTTTCGTCTCTTCTTAAACTGACAGCACTTTAACTATGGAAACCATTCTTGTTTAAAATTCATCTACTCCAACTTCAACTGGCCCTTAATGCTGCATCCAACAGCAGTTTCAGATCTCACTTTCTCTCCTTAAGCCTCTTTCTATCAATCACAACAGAAGACCTTACTTCCAACTTCTCTTAGGAAAGAAGAGCCATTCTGAGTTTGCTCTGGCCAGGTCTTTTAACACAACTCCATCTTTATAGCTAACAAATAATCTATCCTTTTTGTCTCAGAAAAAGTATACCATCTCACAGAAAATAATTTCTCCATATGTTCAATGAACCCCATCTTTTTTCAACAGCTTCAGTGTCACTCCTCATCTAGCTCTTCCCTTCTTTCTTCAAATGTGCCTTTCCTATCTTGAAAATACATTATCACTTTAAAAGTTGAGATTAGAAAACAGGTAGTCTTCCTCCAGATCCCTTGATTGTATCTGCCATTTTACAAAGCTGTATGTGAAATCTAGATGGGGATTCTTTCTTCTCTCTTTGAGCTCTTTATTCAGAAAATATACTTTTTATAGAGGCTTTAAAATACATGAGAGCAAACAGCTGAGAGAGATGGCCGCACACTCTCAGACTACAACATTCAGAAAGAGTCTGCCTGCACTTGGTGCTCTGCCTGCGAGGTGGCACCGCTGAGCCTTGCCTGCACCAGCTCACCCAGAAACACAACTGTGGCAAGATGATATGCCTCAAAAGTTATGCTCACCTGCATAACCTCTGTGCTGTACCTGCCACAAGAAGTACAGCCACACCTAACATGCTGTACCCCCTAAAGAAGGTCAAATAAGGCACCTCCCCTGGCTCCTCCTTCTCCCACTGGGTGGCCTCCTGCCCAAACCCCATGGCTCTGGGGCCTCAATAATGTTTCTCATTTATTGACTCGTGGATAGAGGGAGGGGCGGTGGGCAGAAAGTGTACGTTTAAACATTGTCAAGAACCACATCTAGTGAACCTATCTGAGATCTCACTCTCCAGCTCTATTTGACACTTTGTCATCTTATATCTTCTCTTCTCAGAATTTTTTCCAGTAGTTCCCACCCTTCCCCAGACTCCCCATCACTATTCTCAAGGCTCAGATTCTGGTCAGCTGCTTTTCACATTCTCCTCTTTGACTTCCTGTATCGCTACTAATGATTGCCAAAGATATTCCTTATCTCTCAGCAGCTACCATACTCATACTTCAATTTATGTAAACTCTATCTTCATAAAGCCTTTGCATATGTTTACATTGCTCGATCCCATTCAGTTATTAAATATATATTAATGCAAGATTTATAATATCCTATTCTAGATGTTGGAGATAAGACAGTGCCTCTGCTTTTAAGGAGCTCACTTTACCAAGAGAGAAACACAGACACAAAAATAATAATTCTTCAATACTTCAAAGAATTCTTCAATTCTTTATAAATGCTTTAATAAAGGAATATACATCCTCTCATCTTCTAAAGAACTATGCACTATAAAACTAACATTAATCTACTGTACTGTTTTGCAGTCTTTCTAATTATAATGAAAGTTTCTAAAGAGCAAATCTTTGGTTAATTATAGAACATATGATTGCCACTTAAGGAATTATTCTTGATTATGTAGCAAGCATGTGGATTAAAAGACAAACATTCCTCTCAAGGATCTCTCTAAGACAATGCTGCATATAGTTTATATACCTCTCAAGACAGTAAAATTTAAAGATGAGGTGAGTTTCTTACAATCATTCATTCATCAAATTAATATACATTTCCAAGTGTCCACTTGTGCCAGACACAATACTAAGGCACTGGGAATACAGCACTAAACAAGAAAGACAAGATGCCTGTTCTTATGCTCTCACATGCTCACATTCTACTGTGAGAAGACAGATAATAAGCAAATTTCAGATAAGTGCCTTGTAGAAACTAACACAGGGTTATATGATTGTGACATGGGCAACACAGCTGTTTATTTATTTATTTATTTGACAGAGTCTTGCTCTGTCACCCAGGCTGTGGCGTGATGTTAGCTCACGGCAACCTCCACCTCCTAGGTTCAAGCAATCCTCTTGCCTCAGCCTCCTGTGTGGCTGGGATTACAGGAGTGCACTACTTCACCCAGGTAATTTTTGTATTTTTAATAGAGATGGGATTTCACCATTTTGGCCAGGATGGTCTCGAACTCCTGACCTCAACTGATCTGCCCACCTCAGCCTCCCAAAGTGCTGGGATTACAGGCATGAGCCACCATGCCCAGCCTGTGTGTGTGTGTGTGTGTGTGTGTGTGTGTGTGTATTTTTTTTTTTTTTTTTACTTAATTTTCTTGAGACAGAGTCTTGCTCTGGCACCCAGGCTGGAATACAGTGGTGTGATCATTGCAGTCTCAACCTCTTGGACTTAAGCAACACTTCCACCTCAGCCTCCTGAGTAGCTGGGACTATAGGCATTCACCATTAGGTCTGGCTAATTAAAAAAAAAATTTAGTAGAAACAGGGTCTCACTGTGTTGCCCAGGCAGGTCTTGAACTCCTGGACTCAAGCAATCCTCCTGCCTCAGCCTTACAAAGTGCTGGGACTGAGGCATGAGCCCCTGCACCTGGCCAACATGGCTATAATTTAGGTTGGGTAGTCAATGAAAGTCTCACTGAGAAGATGCTCTTTGAACAGATACCTGAAGAACCACAAGCAAGAAGTGACTATGTGAACATCTGAGGGCTGTTCCATATTGCTTCAAGAAGAGAAAAATCCAAGTGCAAAGTCCTGAAGATGGGAAGAGCTTGGTGCATTAGAGAAAAAGAAAGTAGGCCAGCATGGCTAGATCTTAGTATGTGAGGAGGAACAGAGTGGCAGGAGTAGATAAGAGCCACATATATAGGGCCTTAAGTACCTATAAATGGCAGCTATATGCAAGACTATCTTGTAGTCAGTCATGAGAGGCTCCAGCCTTAGGATAAAGCTGACACTTCCAGCAGAGGTAAGAAATGTAAAGAACTAGAATCATGATGATATCACTGAACCGATATTACTGTGCTAAAAATTCTATCTTTCGGGAGTTTGTCTGCTCAGAGCCCTCCTCCCTCTGTATGAGAGAGCAATTTTCTTCTTTCTTTCCTCTTTCTTGGCCATTAGACTTTCTGCTCCTTAAAACCAAAAATAAAAATTAATAATAAAAATCCTATCTTTCTTCCAATTCTGAAATAGATTTCCTTCCTTTCATAAAGCCAGCTGGAAGAAGAATTTTATTTATTGTAACCAAAAACACCTTCATATACCAAGTAAAAATATTGAAAATATAGATTCAAATGAGTGAGCAACACCAGTTATTTTAAAAAGCTAGTACGTACAGATTAGTTGTTTTCAGAGTGTTTTCCCCCCAAACAACAGGTCCCTTTATTTATTTTTTTAGTGACATCACACTCATTTGTCAAATGGCAAAATACGAAAGTAGCAGCAAGCAGGGGTAGAAGGCCCAGAGTTTCACCCACTTAGTTTGCCCTCTATACTCGAAAGTCTGCACACACTGCCCATGCCAATCTACATGGAAACCCGTATTAAGCCCCTCTTCAGGACCCTATAGTTCTGCAGAACACAGGGTAAAAAAACTACTTTTTAAAAATAGATTCCAAACTTAGGAAGTTGCCATAATAAAAAACATATGCCTTTCACTTGCAGATCTGGCCTTTCACAATTTATTCAGTATTAACTATGCTCCTGACATACTGTTAAGGACTTGACATACGTCCTCTTTTATTCATTCAATAAATTTATCAGAAGACCCTTATAAAAACCTGTTTAAAGTATCTCTTTTTGTTCTCTGGAGTTCTTGCATGAGGCTAAACTGCATTATAAACTTGTATTACTACTACTAAGAGAAAAAAAAAATTTAAGCCATTATAGCCCAAATGAGTTACGGTCATACTATTAAGATGGGCTTACCCCATAGGATGCTGGACCACAACACATCAAGCTATTTCTTTTTTCTTGAGACAAAGTCTTGCTCCGTCACCCAAGCTGGAGTGCAGTGGAGCAATCTTGGCTCAAATGCAAACTCCAACTCCCGGGTTCAAGCAATTCTCATGCCTCAGCCTCCCAAGCAGCTGAGATTACAGGCAAATACCACCATGCCTGGCTAATTTTTGTTATTTTTAGTAAAGATAGGGTTTTGCCTTGTTGGCCAGGGTGGTCTCGACCTCCTGACCTCAAGTGATCAGCCCGCCTTGGCCTCCCAACGTGCTGGGATTAAAGGTGTGAGCCACTGTGCCCAGCCACATCAAGCTATTTCTAGAAATTCAAATCATCAGGCCAGGCGCAGTGGCTCACACCTATAATCCCAGCATGTTGGGAGGCCAAAGCAGGCTGATCACTTGAGGCCAGGAGTTGGGAAACCAGCCTGGCCAACATGGCAAAACCCTGTCTCTACTAAAATTACAAAAATTAGCTGGTGTGGTGGCACACAGCTGTAGTCCCAACTACTCAGGAGGCTGAGGCAGGAGAACTGCTTGAGCCTGGGAGGCAGAGGTTGCAATGAGCTGAGATCATGCCCTGTGTTCCAGCCTGGGTGAGGGTGTCAGAGTGAGGCCTTGTCTCAAAAAAAAAAACAAAAAAAATCACATCACCAGACAATATACTTTTCTAACTACATCAATTTCCAAACATCCTTTAAAAATGTATACAACTTTGGAAGTTTTTAAAACCAGCAGTATTTGTTTATAAGACAATTTTTGAAATAAAATCCTACACAGTATGATGGCAAATTATTAATTTTTGGCTGGGCGCACTGGCTCACACCTGTAATCTCAGCATTTTGGGAGGCTGAGGTGGGTGGATCACCTAAGGTTAGGAATTTGAGACCAGCCAGGACAACATGGTGAAACCCTCTCTCTCCTACAAAAAGAAAAAAATTAGCTGGGTGTGGTGATGTGTGCCTGTAGTCCCAGCTACTCGGGAGACTGAGGCAGGAGAATTGCTTGAACCTGGGAGGCAGAAGTTGCAATGAGCCAAGATTGTGCCACTGCACTCTGGCCTGGGTGACAGAGCAATACTTTGTCTCAAACAAACAAAACAAAACCAAGACAAATTTTCCTGACAAGGAATCAAATTAAAGACCACTTTCCTCACCTGAAAAGCACTTACTTTATACCAACAAATCTATCTTCTAGTATGCTCAATTTATTTTATATTCTGTTAAGAAGAAAAAGAATGCTACTAAATGAATCATGATAGGCCATTAAGACAAATCCCAAATTCAGAGGTGGCAAAATATGAGAAAAAGTCTTTCATAAAACTGATTAACTAGAGAAATAACATAAGTGAGAAACATAGTGAAGAGAGAAGTAGAAAAAGAGTATGAAAGATTATTTTTCTAATCCTTAGGAAATGTGAGTAGAATACTTCTGTCCACTGTTCAAAATCAAACTCATATTCTATACGGTAAAAACTGGTCTACTCACCCTTCAGCATCAGGGTCTAAAATGACAGCCAGCTCCGTTAACACAAGTCCTGCCAAATAATGCTGTTGGCGGAAAGGCACCGACAATTCAAACATATTTGCAATCTTCTGGTCTTGTACATTCGTAGAAAATCCAGAACTCTGTTGGAGAGTGAGGCAGAACAAGACTATAGTTAACCATTGTTTTGTATTGGTGGTTAACTATTCTTATATAACCACTGTTTTGTATTAGTGGTTAACTATTTCTTATATTGCTTTGTCTGTAGGATGTTTTGTTGCACTGCAAACAAAACATCCTACAGACAGAGCAATATAAGAAATGAAATATTTTTTCCTAGGGAAGTTCATTTTATATTTACTAACACTGAAGAAAGCAACTGCTCAGACTTTTGGGACAGGAAACTATGATGAGATTATTAATTAGTTTATTACAGAAACTAATCATTGAAAATTTAATTATTTTCCATTTCTTTTTTCACATATAATTTCCTATATATTTTCCCATTCATTCTCTTAGTCACTTGATGTTTCAATATCACACTCTGATGGAAAAAAGAGGCAACTAAATCCAAATAACATAGTATGCACTCACCTCAAAGTACAAGAGAAATATTCATAGTTACGGCAATTGATTTCCAGAGAAATTCTAAACACCAGTACAGTTGTTTTTCACAGAATATACTATCTCTGGAAAATTACCATCATTTTGTTGTCTACTCAGTTTTTTTTTTAACGTTTTAATCATGCAAAATATTATAGCATTCTCCAAGATACATATTCAGGACTCATGTGGGGTTTCTTAGAGCAACAACAGATTTCACATTTCCCTATGGTGAAATCATCTCCTAATAAAAATTTAAAACGCTTCTTAGCCTTTCAAAAAAAGAGTGACGTCTCTGTTATCTAGTAGAATGTGAAAATTATGTAGCTAGCTGAGAAAGTAGGCACTAAGATAACAGAAGAACTTCTATGAGCATTTCCTGGCTGAATGAGATGTTCAGTAAGGAGTCAGATACAAACAAATATGTTTCCTTAAGGGTTTTAGCAATCATATTTATGCTTAATCTGTTTTTGTGTAGCTACATTTTTGGCAGAGGATTAAGAAAGAAAGAAAAAGGCCAGCCTCATCCACTACACTGAGGGCGTGCTAGCCAGATTGAACAGTTTGTGGAAAAATAGGATCCAGAAGATTTTTTACAAAGATAAAATGAAAAGTTGTGGGTACTCTTTGATGTTTTCTAATCTTTCTAACTGAAATTTAACCTTTGTTTTTTAAATCAGGCATATGAGATATCGCCTACGGAATCCTATTCAGGAATTAAATATGCTGAAAACAAAATGAAGAAGTACTAATATTAACTTTCACTTTAGAAATTAAGAACTTAAAGAAAGTAGCCTCCTTGCCTCAGGAATAATAAAGTAGAAAGAGTGTTTCACTGGACAAAGGAAGCACAGGCTTCTCTGATACTAAAAACCACAAAATCTCTTAATCTCAACTTATAAAAGACATATATATTAACTGTTACAATAACACTTTTTCATCTGTAGAGAACCTACTAGCTATTGAAGTCAAGTGCCAACCACTAAAACACCTATCAATTTTCATCTAGTTTCCTTTAGGGTTTCTGGATACAAGAGACTTAAGCAGGGCTTTGTTATGCCTTCACTGCAGTTTGACTTCTCTGTTCAATTAATCTTCACCCCTTCCTTCCTTTCGCAGGTATGGAACTCTAAAGAATATCTTGCTTAAGACTCATTCTTGGTGTCTGCTTCAAGAGAACCCAATTTGTGTAAACATCTAAATTTGTGAGTTTATTTAGGTGAATTCATTCACATGTGCATAATAAATCTGTGAAAGGAATACAAAACAGTGGTTAAGAATTTGGGCTCTAGAATAAAGCCTTGGTTCAAAGCCTGGCTCTGCCACTTTTTACTCAGTGGCCTTTCTGTGTTTCTGTTTTTTCTAATCTACAAAATGGGTATAATAATATACTTGCCTTCTAGAGTTATTCTGAGGATTAAATGAGTTAATACTTACAAAGCACTCAGAACTCAGTAATACAGCTATTACTCAATTCATTTGTTTTACATTCTTCTTTACAAAGATGACTTTAAAAATACGTGTGTTCACACAATTTGCATACCTGAGAAGGTGATGGAGATGCAGGTGGAGTAAGTAAGCTACAGGGTAAGTTTAATGTAACATAGTGCTCATGACTGCAGATGATTCGCAGAAAATCCAGCCTCAAGGACACCAGAACGCTCGGATTCGGTAATGAGTAAAGCTTTGAAGACACCTTGTAAGCATTGCATAAGATAACACCAGTTAAATTAAAGAAATATTATTTCTTCAATACTGATACCAGAATGGCGAATTAGAATTAAATAGTAGTACTTGGTATCCAGTTTAGGTTTGTGGCTTAAATAATAATATCACCTTCTTCCAGAGTTGCTGCTAAAATTAAAAATTTTAAACTATCAAGTTTACTATATAAATACATATCTGACTAACCTAAAAGCCACATTCTTGTATTTCCAATATAGCATCAATATTTCTACTTCTCAAAAAACAGGAAAAACATATACCATCAAAATAACTTCATATTACTTTCTTAAAAGAAATTATCAATTCTATTTATAATTTGTCTGTTTTCTCAGCTACATCATAAGCTACTTGAGAAGACATACTATAAACTGATTTAATAGTTTTAGTATCCTACAGCTTAGCTCAATGTTTGACAAATATAGGTCAGTGTTCAAAGAATAAAGACAGAACAAGTTCTGGTAGTAATAGTACATAAAGTTTTGGGGAAAAAGTAAAAATCATACACATAGTGTTGCAAGTACTTCTATGTGGGTGAGTGCCCATGCACAGTTTTAACTTTTCTATTAGAAGAAACAAACAATAAAGGTATCTAATAGAATATTCAAAATTCTAAATATTAGACTACCAAATAGAATTCTGGACTCCCCAAAACTAATCTGCAGACCAGCTGTGAGGTGCTTCACAAGTACTGTGTGCTCCTCACCCCACCACCATGAGAAGTTTGAACTTCTTAATAATTCTGGAATGGGACTCAGAGATCTGTATATTTTTAAAGCGCCTTTAAAAGGTAATTCTGAAAGGCCTATACAGCTTACTATCAAAGTGGCCCAGCAGAACCACTAACTAATGTTTTCCAGAAGGCAGACTTCACTAATCAGTTGACAAAAATTTTAAAACAAAATCAGCTATGTGTGGAAAAGTTCCAGGATGCTTTTAATTTAGTAAAGTCAAGATAATGAATAACATTTGGCAAATGGGTAAACATCTGTCCATAATTTCAAACTCTACAATTTCGAGGGCTGGATTAGGAGGAATACCCAGCAAAATGCAGCTGCTTTAAAAATCACTCAAGATACAAAGTCCACTCCATATAAATGCTCCACTTGTATGACATCTTGAGACTGTGTTACATTACCATTGACTTGATGGTATAATCCAGAATGGGAATTAAAGAGTCATAAGTAGGCCTGTATAACTCAAGGAAATACTGGCTTTACTGACAGCAGCTTGCCACTGTCCTTGTGTCCTGATAAAACAAATATAATTTATTTTTGCCTTGCTAATAAAAATATATTACTTTAGGCTACTTTTTGTTTTAACATCAGTATATAATGTGCTCTTGAAGGTCTTTTAGCTCTAACTTTGAAAAGAACTAACATAGTATTTAAACTATTTGATTACTAATAATTCCTTACTATGTATTACCTGTTTATAGCAGGACTTTATAAGACTAAAAACAAATCCTCTGTCCATAACAGATAACAGATCATTGAGAAAGAATGCCAGGCTTGTATTGAGTCTCTCAACCATTTCTGTGTCCTGTGAAACAAAATATAAAACAAAAACAAATTAAAGTATGATAGTTTAATCTGAGCTTGAAAGAGAGATAAGTGGGGGAAAAGTTATCATTACCTTCTGAAATCGTGAAACTATATCACTAGCAATCGTGCTGACAAGAGCTGCAATGTCATCCATGAAACGTTCTGGAAAACGACTTTTCCTTGGAGCATCAAGTTTATCATTAAAGTATAAATGATGCACCATGCTCTTTACCTGAAAAAAACATATAAATTATCAGTTTAACTTCCTATGAATATAATTAACAATTACAACTCTAAACGCTTGGACTATTTTAAAAATATGGCATGTAATTTAATAGATAACTGAAATATTTTTAGCTTCTTAAATATTTTTTAAAGTTCCCTATGATGTTATTTGCCAAAAAATTTTTTTAAAAAATCAAACACAATACAACTCCATCACCATATTACCTTCAAAAAATTATCCTGGCTAACAATAGGATAAAAAGTTCTGTGTATGTCAACAAAAAAGAAATTTCAACCTTAAAGGATTTTATTGAGACAGTTTCACTCTTGTTGCGCAGGTTGGAGTGCAATGATGCGATCCTGGCTCACTACAACCTCCGCCTCCCTGTCTCAGTCTCCCAAGTAGTTCGGATTTCAGGCATGCGCCACCATGCCCAGCTAATTTTTTGGTATTTAGTAGAGATGGGGTTTCACCATGTTAGTCAGGCTGGTCGCGAACTCCTGACCTCAGGTGATCCACCAGCCTCAGCCTCCCAAAGTGCCAGGATTACAGGCATGTGCCACCATGCATGGCCCCAAGTTTCGTTTTTTGTTTTGTTTTTAAAGAAACAGGGTCTCACCCTGTCACACAGGCTGAAGTGCAGTGGCATGATCATAGCTCACTGCAGCCTCCAACTCCTGGTCTCAAGTGATCCGCCTGCCTCAGCCTCCAGAGTAGCTAGGACTACAGGTGCACACTACCATGCCCAGCTAATTTTTAAATTTTTTATAGAGACAGGGTCTGGCTATGTTGTCCAGGCTGGTCTCAAACTCCTGGCCTCAAGTGATCCTTCTGCCTCAGCTTCTCAAAATGTTGGGATTACATGTAATATACCACATACAGCCTAAAAAAAATTTAATTAAATTTTTCTAAGACTCAGTATTTTGCCATTCCAAAGCTCCCAAACTGTAAGCTTTGAAAGGTTAGAAACCCTGTCTTCACTATAATGTCCTCAGTAGCTAATATATAGATAATGGCATACAGTAAGAATACAATAAATTTTTGAGGACTATATTGTATTGTATTTGTATTGAATATTGTACAGATTCTTTATTATAACACTGTGGTAACAGTAATAAAGAATTTTAAACTTTAAATTCAGGTACATTGAAGCTAAAGTCCTATACTTAACATAGAGCACAGCCAAGTTTTAAATTGCAGTCTTTTGATGATTTTGTATTTTAGAAACCTAAACATATATGTAAGACTATTAAAAAACAGTTGAAATTAAAATTTTTACCTTACAAGAGAAGCACATGAATTATAAATTTAAGGTTTATTTTCTGGGGAAAAAAATGAGTTGTCACTTATATATAGTTCCTGATTTATTTTTTCTATAGATTATTAAATCTCTAAAAGAAATGTTTTCTTACCCATAATATATGTAACATTCAATGCTGAGAACCACCCTATGACATACTTTGGAAGATTCTTTTCTGTTTTTGCTTGTTTTGTTTTACATTTTTTAAACATACTTCTTCTTTGGGAGAAAAAGTTTCAGTGATTTCAGCTTTCTAGAGGCTGAAGAGGAAGGTGAAGAAGACAGTCCCAAGTGCTGGAATGCCTGAGTTTGAATCACAGTCCTGCTACCTACAAGCTGTGCATCCTAAGACATGTTAACCTCTCTGTGCTTTAGTAATGCCTAGGCCACATGGCAGTACTAGCATACTGTGCCCACATAATACATGTTTGTTGCCTTTGTTTACATATGTGTTTGTTTACATATACAAGTTTATATTTACAGGTGACCCTTGAACAGCACGGGTTTGAAATGCATGAGTCCACTTATATGTGGGTTTTCTCCCACCTGTGCTTCTCCTGAGACAGCAAAACCAACCCCTCCTCTTCAGCCTACTCACTGTAAAGACAGTAAGAATGGAGACATTTATGATGATCTACTTCCAATTAATGAATAGCAAATATATTTTCTCTTCCTTTTAATTTTCTTAATAACATTTTCTTTTCACTAGTTTATTCTTAGAACACAGTATATAATACAAATGACATACAAAATATGATTATATTATCAGTAAGGCATTTGGTCAACAGTAGGCTATTAAGTAGTTAAGTTTTGGGTAAGTCAAAAGTTATATGCAGGTTTTGGCTGTGTGGGGGGGTTCACTCCCCTAAACCCCATGTTGTTCAAGGGCCAATTGTTCATATATATATATTTATTAATTATTAATTCACTCATTTTTAAAAGTATCATTTATTTGATTAAGCAAAAATACTTTAAAAAAAATAATAAAAGAGACAGGATCTTGCTCTGTCATCCATGCTGGAGTACAGTGGTGATCACAGTTCACTGCAGCCTCAAACTCCTGGGCTTAAGCAAGCTCCCTCCTCAGCCTCCAAGTAGATGGAATTACAAGTGTGTGCCACCAGGCCTAGCTAATTAAAAAAAATTTGGGGGGGTAGATATGGGCTCTTGCTGTGTTGCTCAGACTGGTCTCAAACTCCTGATCTCAAGTGATCCTCCTGCCTCAGCTTTCTAAAGTGTGGGGATTACTGGTGTGAGCCACCGGACCCAGCCAGTACTGTTGTGTTTTTTATTGGCTGTAACTGGCATTTCCCTAAGAGTTTACTAGCCATAATAATGGCAGTGGGTATCTATAAAGCTTTTTTTATCTTTGGTATAAAATCTACAATACTGTCATTATACACTTGCATGTATAATGACTAGCAAAGACTGTATCACAAGTTTCCTTTGAAAAGACAGCTAGCTTATATAACCATCCCTGAGAAAACAGAGTTAAAATGAGCCTCACTCTTTATAATTCCACCTAAATTGTGCTGAGTGTCCACAGTGTTTAGAGATGTAACACACGTAATTTTGTCTTGAAGGCACATGTAAAAGCGTAAGATGTGCAATAGAAAAAAGATTTCTAAGATAACAAATGAGCTAGCATAAAATTGTTCACGAAGAGAAAAAATATTAAAGAAGATGCTCAGTTTTTGCTCACCATTAACTCAAAAAAGAACCAGGCTTGTTGCAAAGCTGATTCCCGAACGCTGCCACTGCAAACAACCCACTGCAAAGCCAGCTCCTCATGAAAAAGCTATCCAGAAGTAAATCCAAAGTTAATATCAAAGTCAAATCTGCTGATAACATAAACCAAATAATAATGCAAATACAAATGAAGATATAATGCGAATAAGCAAAATAAGGCACGTGAACCATTCAATGATGCGTTGAAGACACCCATTAACGAAACGGCTATTTATGCATGTAAGACAGTGGTATGTGGAACAGCTGAAAAAATTACATGTTATCTTGCTGTAAAATGTAATTTTAAAAGGACAGGTAGAAGATAGCCTCCTAAATTGTACCTGCAAACAGAAACTAGACTAAAAACTTACAGTAATACCTTGTTTGTGACTTAAGCACACTTTTTAACATATGCAATACACACATGAATTTTGCTGGTACAATTTAGGAAATACATTTTAAAATTTAAACTTTGCTATGAGGCATTAATTTTCAAGTTTTCAGTTAAGGTATTTAAAAAAAAAAAACAGCAGAAGATTTCTGCCTTATAATGGATATGCATACAAAGCATTTGCAAAGTAGTGTATATTAATATGAAAAAGGACTAACAAAACTGTGCATACGGGAAGCAAATCAACATATCTTACTAAGAGTGACAATTTTTCTAACTCATCTTCCTTTCCCTGGAGATTTAAAACACAAAACAGAAGCAGTTACAGAAATAGAATCAAGAGTTGATACATTTTTTTGGTACTAAAATTTGATGATCAAATTTGAATTCACTAAATTCTAAAAACAGTCAATCCCAAAGATATAAACATTAACATAACGTAAGAGTCTACACTGCTGAGGTATGCCCCAAAAGGCATCAGAGAAGCTATGCTTGCTCAGATATACTTTTTAAGCACAATGCAATTACTGTAAATATCTCATCCTGGCTATGTAAATAAATCTTACATCTATTTAATTGGTAAAATTATTTTCCCCCTCTATTAATTGTCTTCGTATGAATCTACCTTTTTAGTTGGTAAGCGTCCCGTTAATGTTTGTAAGAAACTTGACGTCTCTGTGTGCGAAGACATACGATTACAACTTCGATCCATAGCCTATGGAGTGAAGATGAATGAATGACGAGATAACATTAACGTTTGCAGTGGATGATTTTGCAGCTGACGGATTATGTACAAGTTTAAAATAGAGTTTTATTATGGTTTCGAAAACCACCTATTTTATTAAAGGTCTCATTTTCACCATTTTAAGCTGCTTTAATGACAATGCATAAGTAGTATCAAAATGGCTTCTATATATTTTTGGTCTTTAAAAACAGATGAGTATTCCAATGATTATATAATATTCAGAGTGCTGCAAAGAATGAAACTTGTATCTGTGTGATCTATACACATGCACATATCTAGTAAAAATATATATAAAGTAAAAACATACTTCTCAACTGATCTCAGAACAAAAAAGATATCAATAATTTTATATTAAATAAAGAAAACAAAAAGTTTGGAATAATTTATCTCACTTTTTCATTATTATCAGAAACTACTATTCAGGTTTGTCATATACTAAATCAAATATAAATCACTTACAATGTTAGAAATGGAATTAAAAATTTTCTTTAAGAACAGAATTTTCCTGTGTTTCCTTCAAAGCCAACACAGATGAGAAGTATATTTTGAGGTATCATGCAGTATTAGCTACCAAGCAACTAGTCTTAAGAAAGCAAAACTAATTCAGCTAAGGTATAACAAATTTCATACTTTGCAACACAGTACAAATTAAAACAGATTTTTGCTTCTGGTATTGAATCTTATAGCATGGGATCATATATTGTTCACATTTAATTTCAACTTACTGCCAGTCTTTCTATTCAGTGACTACGAAGAAAGTAACAAGATAGTAAATGTTAAATGAAAATGATATAATAGGTACACTTTTAACCAAAAGCAAATAGAAAACTGATGGGGTTTTTTTCTCCACATAAAAAATTTAAAAATTGCTATTAAAGATGTGCTACCCCTAAAGAAGAAACTGTTATAAAAGCCATCAATTGCATAAGCAGCAGGCACTGAAATATTGATAAGGTGTGTAAGGAAGAAAGAAAGCAGAGACAGGAAATAGGAAAGAAGAACATTACTGATGCAATTGGTGGTATTCATGCATAGTAGTTGAAAAATGTGCTAAGTAAACAAAAATACACACTTTTTAATGATTAAAAAAAGCAAGCCACTGAAATCACAGTATATACTAAAAAGTAATGTTCTAAAGGGAAACATCAGCAGCCAATAAAGAAACCTCTAATATAAACACCACCTGTGTTGATTCTGCACTTGGACTGGGGTTGGATCCCCATGGGGCAGCTTTTGGACCACCAGTGTTAACCCAGGAATTGGAGCGATCTAAACCCTAAGCATATAATAGAAAGCAGTTGGAAAGGAAAGAAATATTACATGTTGCATGCTATAAATTATTCTTAAAGAAATTCAGATCTTCTATTGCAAACATGTTTTTAATTAGTACTGTTAAAGCAACCAAAATTTGTAGGCACCTATAGAGTATTAGTTCATCAAAATTATCTTATTATACAACACAATTTTTAAAAATCACTAAGGCCATTAAAGGTAATTTTTCTTTATGTAAAGGGATACTCTCGAAGTATCAATAACTAATGTTCCCACAGCACCACACCCCCAAACTTTCTTTAAATATAGTACAAGTTAGCAACAGATAATTTCCTCTGTATCTAACTGAGGTTTAAAGGAAAAAAAGGAAGAAAAATATTCCATTCTTCGCTATAAACTGTAATTTCATTGCATCTCTCATCAACTGAAAACTATGCAGTGATATACTCCATAATTCTATTTGACTTTACCACCACCTTCACTCTCTTTTAGGCACAGACAGGAGAAATTAAGTAAAAACTTCAGAAAAAAATGATACCTAATATTTACTCCTTCCTAATAATGTATTTTGGGTTGCATTTGTAATTAAACACAATGGGTTACTATTTTTTAAATAAATATTATAAGGAAAAACATGCTGGGGCTGTCTATAGGAATTATATCTTCATCATCATCTTCATTAATTTAAGATTTCTTCAATACGCTACTAAAGTATATGTCCAGAAGTGAATTATTTTATCTTTGTCTGAGAGGGGTTACTGTAATCCCAGGTGAAGGAAACAGAGGCTGTACTTCTATTTCCTCAAACTGACTGATCATCAGAATAACTTGAGAAGCTTTATAAAATTCAGATTCTGGGCTCTATCTCCATAAATCCAATTCAGCAATTTGGACTGGGGACTTGAGAATCTAATAATTGGAACTGGAGCAAGTTGTAAAAGATTTTTAAAGAATTATTAGGGTAAGCATAGCAAAGAGAACTGAAGACAACCTGACGTAAATATATCAGGGCACGAGTATGGACCCAAACCAGAAAGCACCAAAGGAAGAACGGTAAAAGCAAAGAGCTGGAACAATTGTAATCAACTCTGTCTAGACATTAGTATCATGTGGGAAGCTTAACAACAACAGTAACACAACAAATGTGCAGTGCCCTACCTTAAAACAATTAAATGAGAATTGTTGTGAATACAGCCCAGACATCTGTATTTTTTAAATACTTCAAAAGAAGTTTTTAAAAACAAAAGAAAGAAAAACCACAACTCTCAAGGGCTTAGGTTTTGGAAGAATATTTCCTCTACTTTTTCTCATTTTTTCCCCAAATATATAGAGAAGTTGAAACGATGGCACAATCATCACCTATTTCTCATCATTTTTGACGCTGAATGTCTAATACAGGAGTTAAGGTTCCAATCCAGGCTCTCCTGCTTACTAGCTGTAAAATCTAAGATAAATTACTCAACCTTTTTTTTCAGTTCATTATCTATAAAATAAAAATGATTACAGTGTTTCCCTTCATATGGTAAGAATCAAATAATGGAAGTAAATTACTAAGTGCAATGCCCTGAATATACTAAACTCTCAAAAACAGTTTTTATAAAATTTTCCATGCATATTTTTCTTAAAATCCTTTCTATCAAAGTAAATTAGACAATATCAAAATACTAGTAAAATTAAGCAATCAGATTTGTTTTAAATATCCACCTTCTCAGAACCCGATTACAATACTTCAAGTAAAAGCAAAACAAAAGGCATATGTTTTTCAGATAGTTTTTATTTGTCTTCAAAATTATGTCTAAGGCCAAAATTATGTCTTCTTTGTATAAAAGTGTAAAGTTCTTCCCTATATTCAATTTTTACAGTCACTACTCATGTCACAAAAATAATAAAGCATGAGCATTTGACTTTTGCAAAATTATAACTAACTGTCCTCTTTTCTCCCAAGAACTTCCACAAAAAGAGTAACGACTTTGCTGTACTCTTAAATTCACTTAACTCATTGTTTAATTTCCTTTAAAACTACAATATATGATAATTGCTAATGTGAGAATTAAAAAAAAATCTCTTCGTGGTATGAATTACAGTCATATACAGAAAAGTGACATTCTGAGCAGCTATAATTATATCAAAGCTAACTATTTAAAGAAAACTTGTAACCAGTTGTTAGGCAAAACAAGTAACTTCCATAATTCAGGCATTATAAAGCTAAGAATTCTATCAAACAGCCCATATTTAAGCAAATTCATCACTTATATTTAATATAATAACTTTATGTTACCGATTTCAAACAAACATGGAACAGACTAACCAAATGTGTGCCCATGTATATGTAAGTGTGGGATTTTTTTTTTTTTTGCCAAATCCTAGTAACACTATTCATTTTTTCCCTTACATATAGATAAGATCCCAGCGCAAGGCCCATACTGTATTTGATTTGACATCAACTTGTGCTATATTACAAAGATTTTGCTTCATATCCACAAGTCCTCAGCATAGTACCTAGCATATAGTAAGTTCTCAGTGTTTGAGAAATAAAAAAAAAAAAAAATAGATGATATATGAGAAACATATCAATGCAAAATTCCACTGGCATTTGATTAAAAGCAATAAAGTTCAGACCTGATGTAACCATGTACTTACAAAACTGAATGTGAAAAGACTATTGCTAGAACTAAGAAAGCATAGCTCGTTTTAGCAACATAAATATGAAGAAGTCTCACAAATATTTTTACATTTACATTACAGCCACTGGAGTAATCAAAACCTGTTCATATTATATAAATATTCTTAAATTTTAGGAGTTCTATATTTTATCCTGAGGAATAAAATATAATCAAAATTTTCATAAAGTCAAATATTTGCAGATCTTTAAATATATAATTATTCCCAATAGTAAGAGGGCAAACAAAAGCATAATTCAGTTCTTAAAAAGATGATTTAGTACTGGGGTGTTTACTCATACTAACATTTCGTCAATGGATAAATATGTACTGAGCAACTTGAATAAGCTAGACATTACAGATACTTTGGAACAAATATTCCCTGCCACCATGAAACTTAAACTCTGGTAAAGAAAGATAAACACTTAAAAAAAATTAATTCATATGCTGTGAGACCCAAAAAAAAAGAAAAAAAAAAAAGACAAAATAAGGGGATTTGAAGTCCTACAGCCAAGGCTGAGGACACAGCCCCTGGTTACACATTTACATAAGATAATCAGAGTCAACCTCACTGGGAAGGTGGCCTTCAGAGTAAAGACTTAAAGGACTGAGGGAGTAAGTCATTAGATGATTGTGCTCAGAGGAATGACACATGACTTAATTTTTGTGTGTGTCCTAAGTTTCTTAAAGCAACATTCTGGTTGCTATGTTGTGAACAGAGTGTGGGGTAGAAGTACAGAAAGCACCTTTAAAGCCAGTACATTAATTCTAGGAGAGATGATGGTAGCTGAGACCAAGATGGTAGTAATGAAGACATTAAGAAGCATCTCTACCTTTTATATATATCCAAATCTGAACAAAACGATTTAGAAAAAGCAGTTAAGTTTAGAACTCCAGAGAGAAATCTAACTGGGGAAATATAATGGTGGGAGTCATTAGCATAACATTTATGTGGTATTTAAAGCCATGGAAACTCATAAGCTCACCATAAGCTCATCAAGGTAGTAAGTGTAGAGAGAAGACAAGAAAAGAGAAATAAGGATAGAGACCTGGAACACATCCAGATAAAGAGACCAGAAAAGGAAGAATCCACAAAGAAGACTGAAAAGGTATAATCAGTAAACCAAGAAGGAAATCAACAGTGTAGTACCCTGGAAGCCAAATAAATAAATCTCAGAGGAAAAAACATTTAACTGTGTCAAAAGCTGCTGGCAGGTAAAAGTAAGCTGAGTTCTGAAAATTAACTACTGTATTTAGCAAATTGAAGGGTGCTGGTGACATTAACAAGGATAGCTTTGGTGGACAATGGGAGGAATATTTGACTCAAGTAAAGATGATGGGAGTAAAAGAACTGCAGATACCAAGTACAGAAAATTCTTAAGGAATTCTACTACAAAAGGTAGCAGAGAAAGAGCAAAGAAGGTAGCAGTTGAAATGTTAGAGAATTATTATTTTTGATTTTTGTGGGTACATAGTAGGCATATGTATTTATAATTTTGTGTGTACATAGTAGGCATATGTGAGATATTTTGATAAAAGTATATCATGTATAATAATCACATCAGGATGAGTTGGGTATCCATCCCTCAACCATTTACCCTTTGTGATACAAAGAATCAAATTATACACTTCTAATTATTTATAACTAAGTATATAATAAACATTATTTACTCATTTAATTGTACAAATCACCCTGTTGTGCCATCAAATACTAGATTTTATTCACTCTCTATATTTTTCTATACCCATTAACTATCTCCATTTCCCTTCCGACCCCAACTGCTCCTTCCCAGCCTTTGGTAACTATCATACTACTCTCTATCTCCATGAGTTCAACTGTTTTAATTTTTAGCTTCTACAAATAAGTGAGAACAAGTAAAGTCTGTCTGTCTGTGACTGGTTTATTTCACTTAACATAACAATCTCCATTTCTATCCTTGTTGTTTCAAATGACAGGATCTCATTCTTTTTTTAATGGGTGAATAGTACTCCATTGTATACATGTACCACACTTTGTTTACTCATTCATCTGTTGATGGGCACTTAGATTGCTTTCAAATGAGAGGAATTATTTTTCAAAATGAGATAAATAATAGCATGTCTGTATGTGGATGGGAATGATTCAGTATTCAGGGAGAAACTGGTGATGTGGAATAGACATAGAAAAACTGGTGGAGTGTAGATCCTGAGCAGGAGAGACTGGATGAGAACTTGAGTGACAGAGATGAATTTAGAAAAATGAATAGCTCATCTATCATTTTTAATACAGAAGAGTATTAGGCAGTAGATAGTAGATGGTAATAGGTAGTTAGATATGATGGTAAAAGTTTATCAGAGTTTTCTTCCAATGGTTTCAGCTGTCTCAATGAAATAGAAGATAAAGTGAGAAAAGGAATGAGGGGAGAGGTGTTAGGGGGTGTGAAGTAACAAAAGAAGGAATAAGATCATTTCCTGGGAGAACAGGAAAGTGATGGAGATAAAGAAATACAGTATAATTGCCCGATAGCATTGAGGGCTCTCTTGAGATTGATTTCAAATAAGACCAATAACCATGGTATTTTTAAAGACACGTTTAGCTGCACAGATGCTGACACGGCATAGGCAGTCAATTGAGTTTAACTATGGTTTCAGGTTTGGGAAAGATAAGGGAACCGAGGTTTGATTATAATGAGAATAATCTTTTTTTCTTTTCTTTTTTTTTTTTTTGAAACAAGAGTTTCACTCTTGTTGCCCAGGCTGGAGTGCAATGGCATGATCTCAGCTCCCTTGCAACCTCTGCCTCCTAGGTTCAAGTGCTTCTCCTGTCTCAGCCTCCCGAGTAGCTGGGATTACAGGCACCTGCCACCACACCCGGCTAATTTTTGTATTTTTAGTAAAGACAGGGTTACACCATGTTGGCCAGGCTGGTTTGAAACTCCTGACCTCAGGTAATCCACCCGCCTCAGCCTCCCAAAGTGCTAGGATTACATGCGTGAGCCACCACACCCAACCTGATAGAAATAATTATAACAATTGCCCACAGACACTAAGCTGGCTAAGGAAGAAGAGAGAACATTAAGGGGGTGAGGCATAGTAAAAACACTGAAGGATCAAGATTAGAGATTGCAAAGGAGTAGAAATTGTTAGGTTGGGGTACTACAGAGAAAAACAGGAGATAGAGAACAAAACACATGAAATTGAGATTATGGTGATGACAAGATTGCAGGAGTGTCCAATCTTTTGGCTTCCCTGGGCCACACTGGAAGAAGAATTCTCTTGTGCATCACATAAAATACATTAACGATAGCTGATGAGCGTTAAAAAAAAAAAAAATCCTAACGAACTCGTAATCTTTTAAGAAAGTTTACAAATTTGTGCTGATCTGCATTCAAAGCGGTCCTGGGCTGCATGTGGCCTACAGGTCACAGGTTGAACAAGCTTGATATAAACTAAGACTGTGGCTGAGGTGGGCTGGAAAACAAGATTACTAAGAAAGAGTTTCTTGAACTGTCAAGTCAATAAAATAAGAAAAAATGAAGGGTAACTATAAATAAACTTTAGATTCCTTATAATTTTGAGATAAAATTATACACCATTATTTTTAGGGATTACAACTAAATGATAACTCAATATGAAGGTAGCTATCAAAAATTTTGCAATAAAAAGAAAACAACATAAAAACCATTTAAGTAATTCTCATCTTGCAATGGCTTTCTCAGCAATTACCTTGTATTTCTTTATTTGTATATATTTTTACATACATTTTAAAAATCATTGATCCATTTAAAGAACATCTTGAAAAAGGCAAAAAAATCATTATATATAGAGGCCTCTTTGTTCTAAATCTTGAGTTTATAATCTATCAAATGTATAAGGAATAACTCTAGAATTATGCTAAATGAGTCCTAATGCAAATCTTACAAAAATTGAGACATTTTTAAAGTAGAACCTTAAGGAAATGCTGTCTATAGCAACTTTTCTATAGAAAAATTCCTGAAAATCCAAAAATCAAATTCATTCTACTGAAGAACTATGCAGTATATAAATATTCAGTATATAAATAATGCTAAGTACTACCTGTATTAAAATAAAATATAATCAAGAATGAAAACAAGGATGAAAAACCTGAGTTATTTTCTTAAACATGGAAATATGTGTGTGTGTGGAGGAGGGAAGCTTTCTCTTTTTGCAGCTGCCACAGTACTCTGGTTGCTCTGAAGTATCCCTTATTAATACTCTGAGCATCATTCTCTCTAGGAGTTTACAAAAAGGGAAAATTGTTTAATTACAGAAACATTTATATGGATCTTTAAGTTACTGAAGCTTTATTATTTAAATTATATTTTTGATCTGTAAGAATAAATTATTTAATGAGCAATGCTTAATATGAATGAACATTCATTATGTAAATTTATTAATTAGAAGTTTCTATACAAACTATACATATTTCTGTAACTTTATAAGGCATAGTTCGTTCTGCCGTTTTTGATTAATGTTCAAGTATTTCACCTAACAAACAAACCCAATCAAGATCTTTAAATGTTCTATTATAGTTTAGGCTAAAAGTTAAACATAGACCCTAGAACCTATTTATTAATCATTAATTCTTCCTCACATAAAAATTAATATATTAAGCTGCCAAAGAAAAGTTGGTTATCCTTCTGTGAGAATGACATCTTCCTCTTTTCCAATAGCAAAAAAAAAAGTTTGAAATAGTCTGGTCAAAACACAGCATGATGTGATTGATCTTATACTACCTAGCCTTTCCCTTATTTTCCAGCATAATCACTAAACATCATTAAATAAATCACAGTTTTCTAATCCTGGTGCGCCTTACATAGGGTTTCATGTGAAATGTGGCTCTATTACCAACCAAGGTTAATCACTGTTCTTGATATTTTTTTGGAGAAGATGATCTCATGATTTAACAATGACATCTACCTTCTATGTATCAGTAACACAGGTCTCTTTTAATTCTATATTAAGTCAATCTGGCCATTTTTCACATGATAGAGTATCAGACCAACAACAGTAAGTTATATGTGACTAGTGATCCCAGACAAATTTTAGAAATTTTAGTGTAGTAGTTTGTAACAGCAAGCATGTTTAATAGAAAAACAAAACAGTGTTAGTAAACTGATAGAACAAAAATGTACAATTCCTTGCTAATTCCTAATTTATATAAATTTCAAAATTCAGAATAAATTAAAACAACTGGATATTTCTTGATGGTTCACAAAACAAAAACCAAATTTATAGATGCATGTCTTCAGTTTACCTTACTCCCGATGATTGACCGAACTTCATCATCTGGTGACGTGGGAGTCCCAGATATATCTGGATTGCTATTACTAAGGCTTCGAGAACGATTTAAATTAAGGCTTGCAGGTCTCACAGCAGATCTAGCCATTGTGGCATAATGCACTGATCCTCCCAAACCCCCAGGACCTAGAATTGCATATGAAATAGCACATAATTAAAGCAAATTGTCAGGAAAATATCTGAAAAATATCTCTGCCACTTTAAGGAATTCCACAAAGATCATGATTTGCTTTGGTTTCTAAATAAAAAATATTATACTCTTTTTTATTTTTTTTAAAGGCAGGGTCTTCTAAATAAAACATATTATACTTCCTTTTGTTTTAAGAGGAAGGGCCTTTTTTTCTTAAGAGGCAGCACTGGAGTGCAGCACTGAGACCACAGTTCACTATAAACTTGGACTCCTGGGCTCAAGCAATCCTCCCACCTCAGCCTCCTGAGTAGCTAGGACTATAGGCACACACCACCGTGCCCAGCTAAATTTCTCCCTCTATTTTTTTTTTTTTTTTGTAGAGACGGGGTCTTTCTATGTTGCCCAAGCTGGTCTTGAACTCCTAGACTCAAGCAATCCTCCTCTCTTGGCCTCCCGAAGTACTGGGAAATTTTTTTAGAAAGAAAGAAAACAACACTCAAGAACTAATGATTGTTGTACAAAGATATTCTATTTTACAGTAGTTTATAAAACCATATGAACTGTAAATAAAATCATTATCCCTTCAGTGTTTCTCTGTATATAACGGATACAATAAAAACCAAAACTAATAGGAAACACACACAAACACACACACACCCCCTTTCACTTCAGTATAGTTGGTATTTAGGAACTAAGATGCTCCAGCTGGTATCTCTTCCTTTTTTCCCACCTCTCCTACTCTGCCCCTTGACAGTCACTAGTGAGAGCACCAATTTATTGCTAACATCTCTTAAATTAAACCATGTTTATTTCTCTACCTTCATTATTGCTAACATCCTTTAAGTGACAGAGTTTTATTTCTCAATCTTCATCAGTGACAATGTGAATAACAAAATAATATCTTTATTATATACATATAAAAAACTAAAGATAATTTTAAGATCCCAAGTGATACAAAAAAGCAAAGACTCCCTTTTTGTTTGACTAAAATCAAGCCTAATACCATCTTCCAACCTGTATTTTATCTTTAAAAGACGGGATCTCACTCTGTTGCCCAGGTTGGAGTGCACTGGCAAGATCATAGCTCACTCTGCCCTATGAACACAAAAATATCCAGCAATCATAGTGATAATCTATCTTCATATCTTCATCTTTCTGAATGTCATATTTGCAAATGATATTAATACATACCTATTACCTAATTAATTCATGCAATCTTTCAGGTCAGCATGTAAAAAAAAGATGTTTTGTACAATCTGTAGAATTCTAATAGTGTACTGAATAAAAGAGTAAATGGAGGAGCACTGTAGTGTGAGTGTGTGAGTGTAATCACTCACACACTCATGTCAAGTGATATAATTTTAAAAATCAAGATAGGAAATTATAAACCAGAATATAAAAGTCAATTGCTTTTCTTTTTGCAATAAAGTAAAGAAAATAAATTGGGCTAAAACTTAAAATCATGTTATTATTATGTCTAGTTTTCATAATGAATGTCACAATTATTAGTCACCATTACCAATATTAACATTCCCAATAGCTGATAAAGGGCACTTACCATTATCATTAGTGTCATAGAGACAAATATGTGAGTTGAGGCTCCAACACTCAGAAAGGTTATATTATTTCACTGACCACAAAGAGATCAGAACTTTTTTAAAGAACAATCTTTTATATCATTGTAGGTTTGAAAGAGTTTTTAGGAAATTACCAAGCCACCACATTTCTTCTTTAATGCCCTACAGCATTCTAGATGACAAATATAAGATTCTATTTTTCTTGTCTTTTTAATTTTTAAAACACAGTATCTCACTCTGTTTCCAAGGCTGGAGTGCACTGGTAATATCATAGCTCACTCTGGCCTCGAATTCCTGGGCTCATGAGATCCTCCCACCTCAGCCTCCTAAACAGCTGGGATTACAGGGGCAAGCAATTCCTTATCTTAACAAGGAATAATAAAATGTTTCCCAAGGCAAAGTTATTTTCAGGGTTCATTTTCAAAATTTATTTCAACCAAGAACTCCAAATGCAACTAAAGAAAACCGTATTAATAAAAAAATGATGCCTAAAAATGTAACTTATTTATCTCTTTAACTTCAGCACCTAAGCATAGTGGATGGTACTTAGCAGGTATTCAATAAATGTTTGCTACTGAATAAATGCATCACAGTACGGACTACAAAACTATCTCAATACTGACATGAATACATAATTTATGAAAGACAGTTTCATAGTAAAAAGAATAAAATACCTGGTGAAGATGAATTAGGGTAAGTATTTGGTAGGCGGAAAACATAATAAATATATGATGCAAGAAGGCTGTTTCTGCCATGCTGGTCATGATTTCCTTCCAAGTTTTTGTGAAGTCGATTTATAATTGATGCCATGGCTTCAAAAGATGCTTGACCTAGATTAACTTTTAAGAAAGAAGAAAATACCTTTGTTTTAACTTTAGACTGTAAATTCCACAAAGATCAGTTTTGTCATCTCTACATACTTTAAGTATAGTGCTTACATAGTTAAGTGTATAAAGATGATTACAATTTGATATTGACTTTTAATGACACTTTGGATTAACTAAACCAAAAATACTTTCCTGAACAAAATGAGAAAAAACTCATTTTACTAATTTAAGATGAAAATTATATGGGTTTGATTAGTCAAAAAAGAAAACAATGTTCAACAGATATCTACTGTTTAGTAGAACAATACAAAATGTATGACAAGAAAAAAGAAAATTCATCATGTGTAATACCTTGAGAAGCAATTTCTCATTTTAAAGATTACTCCAAAAATCTAAATAGCATACAAGGGAAAACATATTACTTTTGTTTAACAAGAATTAAAAATATCAACAACAAAATGGATTATTGAAAATATTAACAGTATAATAAGAAAATAGTGACTAAGAAACTTGATTGGAATGAGTGTAAAAGAATTCGAAGGAAAAAAAGGTCTAGAAAAACAGGTTGAGGTAAGACTGTATAGCATTTTAAATGCCAGGCTAAGCAACACGTACTTGGTCATTCAAGTCAGTATATAACAATAATTTTACAAAAATTGGGCAATTGTGATAGATAGCACACTGAATAAATGGGTAAACTGAACAGCCACTTTGAGCAATAGGGTCTGAGAGTCTATGATTTATTTAATCAAGACAGGAAATTATGAAGAGATAATGAGGCCAATTAAGTTTTCCCAAAAGTGGAATAACCAGATAAAATGGTCATTTAGGAAGATTAATCTATATATACTGAACTAGAAGGGAAAGAGACTAGAGACAGAAACCTGAGTGAAGTTAAGTGATTCTACCTGAGTTTCTGGTTAATCCTTTTCCTTTTTCTCACAGTAGCTACTCCAAGTTACCAGAATCCTTCTCAAAATTCAGGTCCTCCTTAATCCCTTCTTAGCAATCCTGCCTTCTATCTCACAGAAAAAATGTAGAAAGCATGAAAGTCTTCATGTTTTTCTTTTTTTTCCTTTCCAAGAGATGGTGTCTTCCTATGTTGACCAGGCTGGTCTGGCCTAGCCTCAAGCAATCCTCCCATCTTGGCCTCCCAAAGTGCTGGGATTACAGTTGTGAGCCTCTACATCTGGCCAAAAGTCCTCACATTTTCCTACAAATTTATCAGAATCTGAAACTACTTTATCTTCTCTCCAAAGGAAGTAGTGTCCTCTCTTATATAAGAGTGATCTATCACATTCACTCTTGTCTCACAGAATTTTTATTAATTAATTCTTTTCTCCCCATATATTTTTCTCCCTTGAGCATGTTTACATGCTGATTTCTCTCAGCATGTTTACATGCTGAAATGTTGCCACTCTTTTGCCCTACTCAACCCTGCTCTCTCTTCTAACTTCTTAATAGTATATGCTTCTTGTGTTTATTTTACCATCTACTATTTGCTTCTTAATTCCCTGTAATCTGGTTTCTACCTTCACTTAGACTAAAACTACTGTTGTTAATTTCACAAGTCAACATTTCTCAAGTATACTAGATAAGAGAAGGACTCTGAAACCAGTTTGAATCTTTGCTTTCAAATACAAATAAAGCATATAGCACTATTCCTGGTACACAGTAAATGGTATGCAAGTGTTTTCAATTATTGTTATTACTATTATTTTACTTATCTACAACAAAGAACAATGCTAACCTTTTTCTTTCCTTAAAACCTTCTTCTTCTATAATTTCTGTAACTGTATACTCTATGATCTCATAATCCATTACCTCTTCTGTATCCCACTGTCACCTACGTTTTAACAGGAACTCATCATTTTTTGTATGAAATTCTGTAAGACTCCTAATTTGTCTCCCTGCCTGCAAGTTTTTCCACTTTTAACTCATCTCTACATAACATAGCCATCTTTTTCTAGTCAAACTTGGTCAAGTTACTTCCCTAACTAAGACCAGATCCTTTAAAGGTTATTTATTCCCTACAGAAAAATAGTCTCAATTTCCTAAAGTGTGGAAGACCCAATTTCATCTCCCACTCTCCATATTACCTCTAATCAATCCTCCAATTTATAACTAATTACATATACTTCCTCCCCCAAATTCATTCTGAGTTCATTTTATGTCTGTGTACTATGCACGTGATGTTTCATCTCCTTGGAATAATATTTACCTGTCAGACTCCTATTCATCTTCAAATACCCAACCCAGGAATTAATTCTATTTATAAGTCTCCCCTAAAAAAAACTCAAGTAATTGAATACTCCTCTCCTTTGTGCCACTACTCAAACATAAAAATGCTACCTGGTTAGCTGAAATTTCTTTCAACTTCCTTGCAGGATTTGCGTGACAGAAAAGAAAAAGAGACTACAGAGACTTTGAGTAAATGAAGAAGAAGAGCTGCATTAAGTGGAGGAAAGCAGATGAATGAAAATGTAGAGTAGGTAGATTATACATCCTATAAATTACAACATGATTTGCCTGTTTGCCTGTTTTCTTAACTAGCCTGTGAGATCTTAAAGTCAAAAACCATGACCTGAACAGTGCCTCTCAGTGTCAGGTACATTGTAAGTGCTTACTAAATATTTGGTAAATAAATAAATTGCTTCTATAATTTGAGGATATATCTATAGGACACATTTTATGAAAACTAAAGTTATCATTTTCTGGCATTATAAACAAGTAAACAACATCCTCCACCCCAAACCAAATACAGTCCTTACATATAGCAAATAGAAATCATGGTTCTATTTTTCTTTATTTTACAAAATTTAAAAATGTCAAGTTATAAATTTCATGACTCATCCCCAAACAAAAGTAAATTACCTATTTGGCCAGCAATGACAGGAGGTCTAACAACTAAAAGTATCAGTTTATCTAGCAGAAGATGAAGAAATCGGACCACTGGTTCCAACTGAGATGTATTCAGTGCTGAAATACTGCTCTTCAATTCATTTTCTAAGTTATTTTCCATGATTCGCATGTCCCCAATTCGTACTGGGAACATGTGTTCATCCAAAGCATTGACCAGAGCAAAAAACTTGTCAAGGTAAGGATCCTAAAACAAAGAATGAACAAAAGCACTAAGCACTTATAACTATAAATTTCCCAATTCTAAACGACAACAGACCACTAGTATGTAATATTAATTGATAACACTAAAAAGTTCACATAGGTATACAAACATTGTTTCCAGTTAAATACATCTATTTAAATTTATTATTATAAAATGATCACTTCAAATACTATTACCAGTTACTTAATTACTGATACTAAATAAGAATTTTTTTTTTTTTTTTTTTTTTTTTTTTNTTTTAGTTTTAGTTTTAGTTTGTTTTATTAGTTTGGAGTTTAATTATTGTGGCAGGCATATTAGTAAGCCTACTTTTGTCCATTATTAATTTATTGTCTTTCAGCTCCAGAGCCTTTGGATACAAGGCAAACTCATCGCCACATCTTACAATACTGGAGTCACTCTTTTATTGGTCTACCCGTGTACTGCTAAATAAAATTTACATACTATCAACTTTTTTCCTAAAGATAGCATAGAGGTGCTGTGTCTTCTTATTTCCCCCTACCACACTGTGCAGAAAAGAAATAACATGCTGGGCTTAAGACAGCTATTCTTTGAAAGTCCTGTTTACGAGTATGGCCTTGGGCTAAATGACTGGGAACTTACATTTCAGGGGAGTTCCCATTGACAGATGGCTCACTGTGCCTAAACTGTTTGTGCAAACAATATGGTATAAGCTGAACACCTACTTTCCTTCTGGGAATCTGAAATATTGGTACATGTTAGGCAAAGGGTGCCTATGTGACAAGTCACTAGTAAAAACCCTGGGAATCGAGTCTGTACTAAGCTTCTGTGGCAGACAACATTTCACATATGTTGTTTCAACTTGCCCCACGTGACTCCACTGGGAGAGGATTCTTGGAAGCTTATTTTTTGTTTCCTCTGGACTTCACTCCATTAGCCTTTACCTTTGCTAATTCTGCTTTCCATTCTTTCACTAAAATAAATCATAGCTATGAGTATGACTGTATGTTCAGTCATGTAAGTCCTCCTAGCAAATCACTGAACCTGAGGTGGCTTTGGGAAGCCCTCCACACCACCCCTTTCCCTTTATAGGTTAGTGAAGCCCTGAATTTCATTTTAAATACTTGCTTCTTCTGAGTCTACATATTTATCCTCCATGGAAAATCACATTTACCAATATAGTTTAAGCTATCACACTTATTCCATTATCTCCAAACCTAAACTCCAAACTAATTACAACCACCTACAGGATACCTCCATCTGAAGCACATAGGCACTTCAAACTCAACACGTTCAAAAAGAACTCACAGGTACCATAACTCCTTTCCCTTAGCATGGCCCTGAATGTACTTCTCTCATGTTCTTTATTTAGGGTAGAAATTACCATCTACCTGGACTCTATGGCATTCAAGGTCCCTCATAATCTATTACCAGCCTGCTCTTCTATTCTCATGTATCATGATTTCCTATGCACTTTAAACTACTACTATCACATCAGGTTACCTGCTGGTCCTGAGACAACTGTAACTCTGCACTCGCTACTCATCATCTGAGTTGCCCACTCTCCCTTTCTGTGTGTAGTAAATGCCTACTTATAAATGCAACGCCTCAGTCTCTAGAAGAACAGATAAGTGCTCCCTCTGTACTTTAAACAATTTAGTTAATACATGTAACTTTGTACTTATTTCATCATACTTTTTACACTTTCCCATGTAACACTGTAAGGTTCTTGAACCAATAGCTCTCTCCTAGACAGGTAACATCTCTGATCTCATGGAACTTACAGTCTAATGAGGGAAAGAAATAATAAACAAATGTGTATGTATGTGTGTTATATACACACACAAACAGAAAGAATGACAGAGTCAAAGTGCAACAGAGAAGCTGAGTGTAGGCAGTAATAAGTGCAGGGGTAAGATGACACACAGTAATGAAGGTGCTATGTTTAAGAGTAACCAAGGAAGACCTCTCTGAGGAAAAGAGAAACTCTAATTCATAAGTCAAATGAATACCAGGAGGAAAAGCACTGCAGGCAGAGAAAGGATGTATAAAACCTATTAGAACTTGGTATGCTCCAAAAATAACGCATTTGGAACAAATAATCCCTAAAAATTCTTTCCATTTGAAATAACCAAGCCTATGAGAAATAAAGTAAGCTGATGATGGTTTCTCAATTCCAATTATTCTGTCATGTACCAGAAACTTAGAAAAAGCAAGTCACTTAACTGTTCAAAATGAAGTCAATTACATTTTGAAAAACAAAATGTTCACTTTTGTTGACATTCAATGATATTTTATATTGTATGTTTTTAACTGACATATATTCTCATATATCTGATAGCAATCACAGATTTATGACAGGTAACAAAACTGGCATCACAAGTATTAAATAATATGTTCAACTTATTTAAGTGACATTTGATAATAAAAATGATTAAAACTCACTTGTGTATGGATAGATGAAACAGCAACAACTTCAACATTAAAAACACCTTTGTGATTATCTACCCATTTCATGCCAGGTAGAGGAACCTGTAAGATATTAAACATAATGATCACGATGCTTAAGTAGATTGTGAACTCTGAAAAGAAACAAAATTTACAATATCCCAGTGAGAAAAATATTGTGAAAATATATTTTTATTCACTGTAAATAAATTAAGAAGTTTTACATTTCATTATTTTAAAATCAAGCAATGCTTTATACAAAAGAACTCTCCAGAAGCAAAAAGCATAAATTAATAAACAAAAAATTTCTATCTTCCCAGAGATACATCCCCTTATATCATTCTAAATCTTCATCTATGTACATATATTTATATACACATTTATATAGTTAATACAAACATTATTTTGAAACCTGCTTCTCATTTATTATACTGTGAATCTCTTTTCATGTCATAAATTCAAATTTACAATATCATTTTAATGGATTATAATATTTCACTTATTTTAAACATTCCCATTATATTTTAATTGAGTCTTGAAATATTTGCAAGCAAAAAAAGCCTGTTGGTTTATGTATTCAAAAACTTTTTTTTTTTTTTTTTTTTTTTTTTTTTTTTTTTAATTTTTTTTTTTTTTTTTTTTTTTTTTGAGATGGAGTTTCACTCTGTCACCCAGGCTGGAGTGCAGTGGCACAATCTTGGCTCACTGCAAACTCCACCTCCCAGGCTCAAAGGATTCTCCTGTCTCAGCTAATTTTTGTATTTTTCGTAGACAGGGTTTCACCATGTTGGCCAGGCTGGCCTTGAACTTCTGACCTCAGGTGATCTGCTCACCTCGGACTCCCGAGGTGCTGGGATTACAAGTGTAAGCCACCACACCAGGTCGAAAACATTTTTCTGACATAAATTGCTAAAAATATCTAAGTTACCTTATAAAAAATAACTTTTAAAAGCAAGTACATAAATTCTCTCTATTCCTTCTGCTAAGTACAGCTAAAATCTCTGAAACCTGACATATAAATGAACATAAAGATTCTGAAAGGTAGAAAGAAAAAGGATGATGGGACAGAATCTCAGGATGCAAGAAACTACGAGTCAGCATTTCCTGGGTTTTGCTTTTGCCTCACATATCCTGGAGTGAGTGCTAGAGAGGCTGGCAAGCCAGAATTGCCAAAAGAAGAAGAGAAACAAAGCCCCAAGAAAAGCATGTTCTCTCTGACCAAAGACATTAATATTCCAGCTAGTTATAAGGGAACAAATCTTGGCCCCACTTCCCGCCTCCCTACACTAAATGGAGAGCCTAGGCTGCCACCTTTAGCTGCCTGAAATGAGGTACTCCTCTTCCCAGCCAACCTCACACACAGTGGGGTGCTATCAAAGAAGACAGAGTTGAGATTCTGTCCCTTTTCTGGTGATAATTAGCCCCCAACCAATGGAGGTGTCAGTGGAAGCCAGGTGGAGCAGTAACAAGGTGGCCCCTCTCCCTCACAACCAGGGAGGGGTCAGCAGCGGCCTTGTGGGGAGCATAAAATTCCACCTTCACTCAGTAACGAGCCCCCTCATTGGATCCACTCCAGAGAGTAAAAGCAGGCAGAGTAGGTAACGTAGACCTTCACCTCTCCCTGACAGCAGCACCTCCCTCCCCCACTGCTAAAATAGACTATTTCGGTAAGATCTAGAGTCTCGTGATACCCATAATGTCCAGAATGTAATTAAAAATTATTCATCATACCAAGACCAGGAAAATCTCAACTGAAATGAGAAAAGACAATCATTAGACACCAATACTAAAATGACATAGATGCTTCATGGACCTGACAAGGATTTTAAAGCAGACATCATTAAAAATGTTTCAACAAGCAATTACGAATATCTTTTAAACAAATGAAAAAAAGACTTGCCAAAAAAAAAAAATCATAGAAAAATACAACAGATTTCTTTCCTATAGTTTTATCTTTTTTTATCATGTATAGAAAATTTAAAAACAATAAAGTCAATTTCCCATCACCAAATTTCAACACTAAGTAGATAAGAAATTCAACATCTCTGAGGCAAAAATAAAGATTTTGAAACATTTTTGAAAAAAAAAAAAAAAAAAAAAAAAAAAAAAAAAAAAAAGCCAGTAGAGTAAATTGAAACCCATCAAAGCAATCAACACTATTTGCTCTTTCAATCTAAAACACTTGTTTTCAGCTTAAAAAAAAAATGACATACAAGGAATATATACACACATACTTCTTTAAAAGTAACAGCTCTCCTCAGCTCTAAATCAAGTGGACCTGACAGATATCTACAGAACTCTCCACCCCAAAACAATAGAATATACATTCTTCTCAGTGCCACATGGCACTTACTCTAAAATTGATCACATAATTAGAAGTAAAACACTCCTCAGCAAATGCAAAATAACTGAAATCATAACAGTCTGTCAGACCACAGTGAAATTAAATTAGAATTCAAGATTAAGAAACTCACTCAAAACCACACAACTTCATGGAAATTGAACAACTTGCTCCCGAACTACTATTGGGTAAATAATGAAATTAAGGCAGAAATCAAGTTCTCTGAAACTGAGAACAAAGAGACAACGAACCAGAGTCTCTGGGATGCAACTAAAGCAGTGTTATCAGGGAAATTTATAGCGCTAAGTACTCACATCAAAAAGCTAGAAATTTTTTTTTTTTTTTGAGACAGAGTCTCACTGTTCTCCAAGATGGAGTGCACTGGCATGATCTCGGCTCACTGCAATCTCTGCCTCCCAGGTTCGAGTGATTCTTCTGCCTCAGCCTCCTAAGTATCTGGTATTATAGGCACGTGCCACCACTCCAGGCTAGTGTGTATGTGTGTTGTTTTTTTTTGTTATTTTATTTTAGTAGAGATGGGGTTTCACCATGTAGGCCAGGCTGGTCTCAAACTCCCGACCTCAAGTGATCTGCCT